ATCATATTAAAAACATTTAAAAGATTTCTATCAACTTTTTATTGAATAAGATAATTTTTTCTTGTTAGCAATTAATTTTAGAAGGGTTCACTGTTTCAACTATTTTAAATATTATTATAAGACATTGGGTAGGTTGTTATTTGTTTGCTTATCCTTTTTAACTAATAATTTAAGTTAAGTTGTTGAATTCTATAATTTAAATACCTTTATTTTAAGATCATAATTTATTTGTTCATTGTATTGGTTGTATTCACATTATAATATCCATAAGAAGAGATTGATGTTTTAACCAAATCAAGCATGTCAAATTCCACATTAAAAAAAAAATCATTGGTCCAAAATTATTTTTGATTAATTCTGACCATCTAATCAAGTATGTCAACGTTTAGTTATCGATGATATTTACGTGCCATGTGATGAAAGGATGATGCCCCTTTTAGTGCATGCATCATTGGATCAAATAAAGATGAGGTCAAACTTTGGTTGACCGAGATGAAGCATCTTTGATTGGCACTAGCTCGAGTTATAGTATAGATATGATTGTCAAATTTAGTTCAAAAATCAAATTTTTGATTTCAGAGCACTTTAGTATGGATCATGTTTTATACATTTGATCTTCATTAGCTCTATCTTGAGGCATGGCTTCCATCAAACTATTTGGTATCCATTATCATCAAAGAGATGATCTAAAATGAATCTAGAAGAAAAAATGGTATGTATCATTATTTGATCAATTGGAGGGAAAATATGCTCTCAATCGATGGGCTTATTTGTTTGTCACTAATCTCATAGAAAATGTGGATTGGAACCCCAATAAATCAGAGGACTAAATAACTTCAATCAATGGGCCTTTCAGGATAGAATAGACCTCGGAGGATGTATGCCTAAAAGTGCTACCTTGTCTCAAAGCAACTCAGTCAAAGAAGACACTTGCCTCATAAGTGCTATACCAAAGGGTTAATTCACGCAAAAGAAGCTCACCCATATAAGAAGTTCATCTCTAAAGAGCACAACCAGCACAGCAATAGTGACTTGACCTAGTGAAGCTCAACCCCGAGAAGTTCAACCAAGGAAGTCTACACCATGGACATGTTTGATTAAGAGAGAAACTTGTCTAAGTATACCTCGATCTATGGAAATACTCACATTATGAGAATTCCCCTTAAAGGAAAACTCAATCCATCCGAGGAAACTCGTCTTTCTCATAGGGCTCTTCATCCAAACTATAGAAGATGTACACCCACTAAACATATAATAACATTCTCATTAGTTACGCAAGTCCATAACTTAAAAAAACTCACTTAGGGAACTCTCACAATACGCTCGTTAAAGGTACTCACTGAAAACACTTGACAGGGGCACTCTCTAAAGGCACTCGTCCAATGTGCTCACCATGGGCACTCATCAAAGATAGATGCTAGAGGCATTTTTTAAGGGTACTCACCACAAACATTTTTTAGAAACACTTGCCAAGTATTTATCAGGGGTGCTCACCAGAAGTATTCACCAAGGGCACTCGTTGGAGGCATTATTTAAAGGTACTCACTAATGGAACTCAATAGAACCATTCTAGAGTTACATCATATATAATAGGGCATGTGTATAAATTCCAATTAGTAAAGGTGTATATAGCATTATTTTATTGCTTTCTTTGGTATAGCCTCTCATGTAGCCTTCCCAACTCTATAAATAAAAAAGGGATTGAGGTGCATTTTGAGACCTTTAGGACCACATCTTATGATACAATGAGCATAAAAAAATGTCAAGTCTCTTCTTCATCCACCTCTCTATTTCTCTATTTATCTCCTTAGTTAGTCTTGATAGAAGGGTCAAGATGTTTTTCATGAAAAAATTTGGATACAACATACTCTCAGATAAATTGAGCACGGATTGATGCCATTGAAAAGAAGCCAAACAATATGTGAGATAGAGCACAAGAACATAAAGAGGTTAGTCAACATGGTGGAATATCAAAACTTTGTGAACCACTTTGATTTGATTGAGATATAAGAGAGATACACAAAAATGGTTTAGAGAATGTTGGAATGAGTCACTAGAGAAAACCTAAGTGGGAATGAGTCGAAACGGTCATCATATGTGGTAGCTTGAATAGCTTTTGAAAAGGATGCATACATATAGCTAATGTTGGTATTATCTTTCAATAGATTATATGTGACTTTCATACATCAATGAAGAGTCATCATTCTCTACTGTTGGTATTATCTTTCAATCAATTATATGTTAACATCCAAGATTAAACCACAAAAATTTTATTTAAAGAAAAGTCTTTCAGCCCACCCTGCTATACAAGATATTAATATTTTAAGAGTCAACACATATTAATTATAGTATTAACAGTCAATCTTGTTCGCACACATGCAAATGTAATATTTATGATATATCAATCATATCATTTCGCTATGCAAGTCAATATCGGTATGAAAGTCATCAATTTATGAAATGTAGAAAAATATACATACTGCATTAACTTTAGAAAATTATAACTATCATTTTACTTAGTCAAATTGTATAATATCACAGTTATAATGCTTACAAGAGTCATATCCATCATATACCAAAAGTACAAGATAAAAGTTTGATAAATAAGAAAAAAATGCATTTTTATCATATTCAAAAGAGATAGAAATCATAGAAATCAAAATCATCGAAAAATGAGTAAGAGTAAAGTTACTTCAATTAAAATAAAATTCATAATAGAAGTTACAAACAAAAAAGTCCCTAAGAACTTCCTCTCTCTCTCTCTCTCTCCTCTTCTCTCCCCTTCCCTTCTTCTCCTTTCTTTCCTTTCTTGGCAAGCCAAATGAAGCGGGAAGGGCTCGTGGGTGGCAGGAATATTTGATTGAAAACAAAAATTATTTTTAGTATTTGGCATCGCAACGCTCTCAGCACTGCTATGCTTGTCAGTGTAGCGTCACAGTGCTGCCTACATGCTCATATTTTTATATATTTTTTAAACAAGTTTATTTAAAATTTTTTTATTATTTTAATTTCATTTTTTGGTTTTAAAGGGATATGTTGGAAGTGAATAAATTGGACCCAAGTGCAGTTCAAGCAGCCCTTACACAAGTCCTAACTGAAGGATCATTCTGGTACGCTTTTAATTCTCTTTTAGGGATATTGCAAAGTATAACATTGTTTGTTGAACCCTCAGCTACTTTTCATCTTAGATAAGCAGTCACTAAGTGCTCACAACCAGGGAGCAAATATAGGCGTCTCCCATGAAATCATCAGCCAAAGGTTTTTGGCCTATGTTTTCTATCAATTTTGTTCTTCTGGCTTTTATTTTGTTTTGCAGAGTTTTTGCCTTGCGGGTGTCCGTGTTATTGACTCGAACAGAAGATTTTTGGAGCTGGTTACTTAGTTTGGTACATTTATGATTTTTTGGGTGTTCATCCTTGTGCTCCGTAAAATGTACCTAGGATTCTGTGTAATTTTGATTAGTAGGAAACCCGAGCTCGTAAGTTTTTTTTTTTTCTTTTAATTTTGTAGCTGTTCAGAGTAGTAGTAAGCTTGAGTTCCCTTTAAAGACCTTATAATCGTTATTTTTTAATTAATGCGTAGGTCTCTTTGTGGGTTTCTCGAACTTAAGAGGAGCAAAATTTTGATTCATAATCTCCTATCCTTGAATTGCTTAGAGCTTTCCTCACTTGGAGATTAGATCCAAGCGCATGCACACATTTATGTTCATAATCTCCTCATATCATGAGTTATTTGATTGTTTAATTACCCCATTATCTATAAGCTAAGAGGGGAAATAAAGATGACATGAATTTCCCTAACACAAACTAGTACTTATCTATTAATTTTAGTGTTTAAGAAAACCTACAAATAAGTTTGAAAATGCTGGAAAATAGAATATTAATTTATCTTACAATTTAAATATATAAAAAAATGTTCTAAATAAATCATGATTAACTCAAATACTCCATCATGAGTTTTCTAATGAGAATAATTATTAATTCTAACCAATGGTGATTAAATTTAAATAAATATGTCATCACTCAAGTAAAGAAACACCCAAACACTCGCACATACTCAAAACTAAAAGACATTGGAATCATTATTTTACTCTTTGAAAAAAATACTCTAAAATTTATGCACAAAATCATTATATCCACAATTTAAGCCTAAAATTTATCTAAAAGGGCACTAAGATATTATTAAATACACAACTCAATATTCATTATTATAAAATCATTAAAGAGTGACACTTGGTCAACAATCTCCTCATATTTATGGGGGAAAAAAAAAAGATTTCAATATGGAGATAAAGAATATAAACAAATATAAATCTATTTTAGAAATTTATAACTCTATAATAATATAAGAGAGTTATATAAGGTAAGACTTATAACATTATTTAGACACTACACAATCAACATTAATGTTGCTTATTAATAAGTGTTATGAAAGACTATTCTCCCCACCTATCAAAAAGATGCTTACTAAAGAACTTACCAATTTTAATCATGAAAGATTAAAAATCCCAACTACATTGTCTGACTTTTAGTTTGGAAAGGGAAGTCAACTATCCCTCCTAAGCGAAAAATTATTAGGTGCGGAGTGTACATCGTTCACACAAATATGAGTACCTAACAGTACCTAGTAGTACCGAGTGCCGGTACCGAGCGCGGAATAAGACTTGTGCGGACGGTTCTCCCTGTCCGCACTCCGTACCTAATAATCTCTCCTCCTAAGCACTTCATAAGATGTCATTCAGATAGAATAATATACAAGAATTGATGGCTATTACTTAGGGAGTGGGACTTTTTGTACTAAATATGATAGTAACTAAGACTTCAAGCTTTTTTTTTATCATGCCTAATGTGACCCTAACAAATTGGAAAAAAAGTACAATAACATGAAAATCAAGTGCATGAAAACATGCCATTAAAGAACTTTGAGCCATATCTGTCTTGCCAGGGAGAAAAAACTCATAAAAATAAATGTATCCGTAACCACAGATGAGCAAAAGAAGGTTTAAGCGTAAGCATAACATTGTATTACCAATTTTTTCATGGAAATACACTTAGCAAAGTTCTAGTAAAAACCAAACCCTAAACCTAATCTAACACTAAAACTAAAATTAACATTAAAACACAAACGTCAACAGTTACTCACCCAACTAAAATTCCCAATAAAAAAAGAAAAAAAATCAAAGTTACAACAAGGGTGGTCAGAAACCCAATTGTTGGAAGTAACATATAAATAACCTTGTCGCCACAGAATCCATTAGAACTCCCATTCAGAAACCCAATTGTTCGCAGAAGAATATTTTCTGATAGTTTCATCTTCCAATCTTTGTTTAGCTCCCCGACCAGAACCAATTCAGCACATAAACCAGAAGACCTTAAAACAAGAATAAAACTTACCCTCACAATGCCGCCGCCACTTTCTCTCTTGCTGCTGAAACAGATTTGTTGTTGGATAAAACAGTATTCCCCATTGTTCAGACCTTTAAGCTGTGGTTGTCAAGCTCAACCTGTATCCAAAAAAAGAAAAAGAAAACCAGAAACAGGACGCCATAAAGATAACACTACATAATACAAAACCAGAAATATATTATAGAACTCAAATGCATGCCTCATCACCGGTTTCTGTACAGATTCAGTGTTCACCCCTTCATGAAGCTTCATCACTGCACCAAGCGCAGCATTCTTCTTCACAAATGAAAGGAAGTGGTAAAAGTATAATATATTTCAGTAAGTAATAATATCAGCTTAAGAAACAAATATGATAGATATAAAAGAGGAAGATAGGACCTCCAGTTCATCCACCAGGCCATTTTGCAGTACCGGCTCACTCTCCTGATTTAAACCTTCCACCTTATCTGGAATAGGTTCGGTAGCAGTACTGCATTTATATACTACAGGTTCCAGATTAGCATCTTCCATATCATTAGAACTGGATGCATTTCCATTCACATCACTGGAGTCCTTTAAGCTCCTCACTGGTTGATCACTTGGTCCAGATGGAGCCTCTGATGACTTCTTCGGTTTCACATATGCGGTTGAGGACCTACCACCAGAACCATCAAGGTCAGAGAGAGCCATTGGTGTCTGCCATCCAGGGCTGGAAGAAACAGACGGGGGTGTACCATCAATAACTCCACATAGAACTTCAGGTTTCGAGCAAGGACTGCCATTAGAAAGATCGGGTGAAGCTGACTTTAACTGAGTAGGGCTAACAAATGCACGTTTTCCAGGACTTGATTTCATATCATCCTCCACACTCATTTTCCTCTTAGGTTTTCTCTCTGAAGATCCATGATCATGTTCATCCTCTACAGTATTAGCTTTCTCAGAATTTTGAGGATTAATTGGTTTTGAAGGCCTAGGCCGCCGATAGCCTTCTGGAAAAACAAATGAAGGAATTTGCTTTCTTCGAACATGGGAAACATGAATTTCCATACCAGGTTTCCAAAACATATACATGTTCACAGAATGCTTAAATTCATCCACTGTTCCACGAATATCAAATTGTTGTTGGCCTTCTTGAATCCTAAGCCCTTGTGTCCTCTGCAATCCCATGAAAAATGCAGAGTGACCACACCGCCTAGAATTGTCAATATACTCACTAGGATAAGGGTGACATTGCAACATCCCAGAAGTGTCCCGCTCGATCTGTAAAAAAAATAAAAAATAGAAAAGTTGAATTATAATCAAGAACTATAACAACATGAACAAGTCGACTTTAACATTATGAAGAAGCGCATATATTCTCTAAGAGAATAAACTAAAAGCCCAAAAAACATTATTCGACATCAATGAAAATACCAATAGAAAGAACTCCAAACCACGAACTTCGTCATCATATCTATTTATCAGAACCCCCAAAGCATAGAATTTACCTTGAGAGTTAGTTGCCTCAATCGAGATTCCACCCAACCCTTCCATATACGAAGGTCATCTGAATCTGTGGCAATAATATCAACTTGAAGGTAATTCTTATATGACTCAAAAAAATGGTACGGTTCAAACAACGCATTCCAACTGGCCTTGTTCAACTCAATCTCCTGGAAATGGTGAATTAAAGTTAGAAATAAAGAAGTAAAGACAAATATTATATTTTACAGTCAAATGTTTATTACCTCACAAATTCTGTTACCAAACTGGAACTGTTCGTTCATAACTCGCAGGGTACTGGTCGACACATTGTAGCTAGAGTTCATGCATGGATATGCAGGTGTAATTATAGGCATCTGATGAGTTCTGTCCCTTGGGTTCTTGCGTGGATCCCAAACAGGAAAACCAAGTTCATCCTCCTCAATAGCACAAAGCATAACAGGATTTGGCCAACGCCATTGTGTATATACTCTAAAGAAACGAGAGACTAACATACTAGATACAGCATTTGGGTACAACTGGCAGACACGAGCTACCAATAAAGCCCAATTAACACCCCCAAGAAATCCAGTAACCTAGCATGAGACAGGTAGTAAAATATTGTGGCAAGTTTAAAGTCAAGTAGATTAAAAATACATAATAAAGATCATACATTTGAATAGACACCGCGTCTCTTGGCCCAAAGCTTTAAGCATCTGAGAGTTGTTCGAAAATTCTAAAAAGAAAAGGCAGAAGGATTAATGAATTCAAAATCATATAAATGTCCAGCAAAATAATGATGGCAACAATGTATTAACCTCGACATTGGGAACAAGCCTAAGAATCTGATCAGCGACTCTACAGCCATTAAGACTTCGAACCGTTGGCTCATCAACATTATATAGCACTGAACCATGAGAGATGTCCAAATCCTGTGTGGAATCAGTATAAGTGTTCGGAGACATGCAACAGCAACAACACCATAATACCGCTTTTAATTTAAACTGTTCTATAAACAACACAAACGAGTTAATCATGACATGAAACAGGAAATCAAGAACAATGAACAGAAAATATGAACTACCCAAGAAGAGTAAAACTAAAGCCTGATGATGCATAACTCCACAAACATAGGGTAAGCATTTTGAACATGATAGAAGATATATTACATTCAAATCAAATAGCACAAAAGAAATGAATAAAATAACTTACAATATATATATAATGCATAACTTACAATATGAGTTTAACACTTGGTTATAAAGTCCTACGGTACCAAAACGAGTAAACAACACATGAAACTCCTTTAACTAGATTATAGATCAGTAATCATGGAAACATCATAAAACATCCCAAAACATCACACAGTATCTAGAATTACATGGGTGGCCTAAGAGCCAATCCAAAAGCAACATCAACTCCGTATGTTCCAGCCTAACTCATACAAACCCAATGTCATCTCAGAAAGTTGCTAGCCCCGATCAAATCAAGTTAGACATGTACTTTCTTCTCAAAAACAATGGGTAGGGCAGACTAGGAATAAACTCATTTCCAATGGTTCAAATAGATTAGTTCAGCATGCGTCATAATGAATCAGGCAGTGATTGAAAACTTTTGTGAATAGAATACGGTGAGAAATATTGTAACTTTACCGTACCAAAAGATATGAAAGAGTCGTATACTTGACACATAAACAGAAACAGAAGTGTGTATGATCAGTGAATGAAGATCAACTAAAAGATTAGGTTTGGCACCAAAACTGGGCTAAAACATGTGAAGTTTCGATTGAAAACATTGAAACTATGCCCACACCAAACTTTTAAACTCTAATTCAAAACTCTCAAATAAACAGGTTGAATAATTGAACGATTGATGAGCAGAACCACATTACAGCGTCAATGTAACAAATTAAAGAGATCATCATGAACAAACTGTCCAATAACTGGCCAATAGAAAAGAGCAGTTACCATGAACAACAAGCATTCGATAAAGCTCATCATAATTGTATGGAAAATAAAGGCTGGAAAAAGCAGGGAAAATTTTTCCCAAAGAAATAAAATTGGTTTAAGCATCATTTAATGAGGTTCTTGTAAAAGCTAGAGAAGTCGAGTTTTAGCAATAAGGAGTATCTTCTAGTGTAATCCAGCAACTCAATCACCATTTAAAAACAAGAAGTGAACCATGATCACATTGTGATCAAACCAATGTAGAAATTAGTTGTTTTAAATAAACCTAAAAATGAAGATAAATATCAAAATATAATGGTACAAACAGCACAAAAAAGAAAAACAGGCGGCTTCCACTCAAGCTTTCTAGGGCCGCTGTCAAATATGATACGTAGCTTAAAGCTTTGAAGTTAGACGACACAATATACAAACACAACATGAACATGATGAAATTGCATAAAAGTAAAAAGTAATTCAAGATACGTTATATTTTACAAATTTTTATGTTTATGATTTTTTACTACGGGTATCATAGGATGAAGTATAATATCATAAAAGAAAATTTATAATGATAAAAGAAAATCACATACTAATAATAATAAAAAAATTATCACATGAGTATTCATCAATTATTTTCAGTTGTCACATGTTTTCACACTATTAAAGGATTCATGTCACAATTTTTAGACAAGTTTTATGCTAGTTGTCGACTATCTAACACAACCCTCCACTTTCTCATCCAAGACTTGAGGCCTGGCACTAGCAATGGAGAAAAAGGATTCATGTAGCCGACCCCACAGTGGGATGAAGGATTGATGTTGCTTTTGTTGTTGTCACGTGTTTTGATAAATGGCATTGAAAAATACAAACAAATGGTTGCTTCAAAAAAATCTTATCATAAAAATTTAAAAATTTTAAAAACTGATACTAAAAAAAAAACTCTCGACGTTTGGGAGTCACAAGAAGAGCTGTTGTCAAAGCCAAAGTCAAGTCATTGCTCGTTGGAGTCTTAGAAGTTGAAGTTGAAGTCGAAGTCGAAGCACGAGTCAAAGCAAAAGTCCTAGTTGAGGGCCTCACTCATGTGTTGTAGTTAAAGTGTTTGTTTGTTTAAGTCAAATCTAAGTTTTACTTATGTGTTGAGTTAAAAATAGTGCACAATGAAGTCAATGCCCATCGAAGTGTAGAAACATCGCGACTAGAGTCTGCTCATCTCTCAATGTCTCTTTCTCTCTTGGTATAGAGGACACAACATAAAATTTCTCACTAAATTCTCCATTATCTACCAAGCTTTCATGTATGCATCTTAGGCATGTCGGGTGTGTTCGTCTTGTGTCCAACAAGCGTCAAAAATGAATTTTACTCTTAAATGAACCTGACACAGTTTTGAACGTGCCGGATGCGTGTTGAAGTCATGTCTGCACCTATCGGATGCATGTTGGAGTCATGTCTACACCTAGCACGTGTCTAATGTAAACACATAAAGTACTTAGAGAAATGCCCAGAATTCCCAAGCTCAAAGAAAAATGGCTACCAATACTTTGAAGGTTCTCATCTGAGCAAAATAAGGTACTAAAAAAATAGTTGTTTCTTTAAGTAAACCTATTTCAATACTAGGTGATACTTTTTTAAGTAATATAATAATCATCACATGAAAAAAGAAAAAAAAAAATCTTAAAGTTTTGTTGCATTATAAGTTTCGAACCTTGATAAATATGTTATCTTAAGCAAATCACCCAAATTACATCAAAAGACCTTAAAAAGTTAAATTGCTTAAGCACGGTATAAAACTGTGCAACTGATCACTGAGACATTTTTTGTCTATGGGGAAAGATGTAAGCCTCATAATAAAAAAATTGTGCAACATCAAATAGCTGATAAGAAGTAACATATTAGCATCCTAATCAATTAATATACTAAAAATATATATAAACATTCTAATATACTAAGTAACAAATTGCGCAAATTAGAAGTATAATACAAACATCAAAATAATATAAGATATCAAAGTAAAGAATAAGGACTATAACATAATAATTCAAAATATAACAATTAAAAATAAGTTTAACACAATAAGTTTATTTCTCTAGCCCTTATCGACTAACATCCAACAAAGAAGATCACAAGTAGATAATCAAAAGTCCTAAGCACTCGCATCACTCAAAGATTCTTTATTAGAGCTAGTGTCATAATGAAAAAATTTTCTCCTCTGCCTTATCTTCAGCTATATCAATATTCTCCCAATCTTTCTCCTCTTCTTTGATCTCAATCATCTTCATCTTCATTAATCAATAATAATCAATAATAAACAAATAATATTATTTAAATTTTGAAATAAATTCAAATAAGAAATTAAGAATATCCTTATTTAGATGCCTTTTCTTTTTATTACTTGGTGGCTTGTGTAAGACATATTTGTCTTATTTTGTCCCCATCAAAGAAATCAACATTTAAATTTTCTTACTGAAAATCGAATGATGTACTTTCTTGTCATCATCCACAAACCATTCATCATTTGATGAAACTTCATCACAAAATAAGATATCCTCTTCATACTTTAAAGCCTTTTCTTTAAATTTATATCCTTCAATCTCTTATTGTACATGATGTACACCAACTTGTTCATTCTTAAGATAATCATAAAATTTCTCCTATTTGCAAGAACTTGATTATGTGACTCCAATTTTTCTCATATCCAAAAAATATTGTAGCTTTGAAGTGTTTTTACTAAATAGGATCCACCATTCCGAATATAAAATAATAAATAGTAGTTAAAATTACAAAAATCCTTTCTTATTTGAATAAACAAATATTAAAAGTTACCTAGATAATATTTTACAACTTTATGTTTGGTTTGCAATAGTCCAAAAAATACTTCCTTATTTTTGACTGGTACAAGTTGAATATTAGCACTCAACCTCTTAGTTGAGTTAACTATCAAACTACACATACAACGGTATAATCCTAATTTGATCTCATAATTGGTCAACTTGTTCTCAACATATTGGAATTAAGAATTGAGATGATATCCACCAACATACAAATGATGATAAAACTGAAGCTCCCACTCCTCATCAATGATTTCCCAATCTCCTTATAATTATACCATCTTCTCTAAAGTTATAAGCTATCAACTCCTTAGCATCGTCCATTGCATTACAAATGAAAAACATAATTGGTTTCTTCTCTGCATCAACCATCCTCGAAACTTGAGCTAATAGTATTGTTGTTGTTATTAATTATTACATATATAACACCCAACCAAAACCTTTCATTTGGAATATTATTCCTAAATTCTTTCCCCTCATATTTGGCCAAGAACTATTAAGCCATTGCGTTGAAGAAAACAATAACTCCTAAGATTGCCTTGCTTCCAACATGCTCTATTGAACTCAATAGACAATAGGAAATCTCGTTGTCATAGGCTAAAAGGGCCCCTTTTGAAAAATTTCTCATCAAAGCAAAGATCCATGAATAATTGTAGATGCATTTACTAATCTTATTTGCTTTAATCAAGGCGTTCTTGTGTTGAGGCAAGTCACCAAGTTAAAATTAAATCTATATAGTGTGCCACACAAGGAGTCTAATACAAATGTTTCCTCTTCTACATCAACTTGTTTCCAACTGCCCTATCAGCACTAGCATTGTTTGTCACAACTTGCACCACTAGATGCTCCCAAATCTCCTCTATCACTACATCAATAAGTAAAAAAAAAAAAGTACTCCACATCCTTTACCTAATATGATGCTTGAATAAACTTTAAGAAAACAATGTCATGTATTGGTCTATGGGCCACCTTGCACGTCTACATGACACTAATGGCAAAAAAGATGAGGAATCTTTGCCATTAGGTCCACTTACATAATAAAAATCAACATTTATTATATCATCAAAATATGTTTGTGCTAAATACTTTGATATTGTCAACCTTCATATATGCACAAATATCCTCTTTCACCACCTTCAGCAACTCAGTACATGGTGCAACATTCTTGTGAGAGCTAGAAAATGCTCTTTCATTCTTATAAAAACTTCTTTCACAACCTTCTTATAATAGTTGCACTTTAGATAAACATAAGTTTTGTCATTCTTGTTATGCCTCCATGCTGGGTCTTTCTTATGACCCATTGTGAATGCATCCATACCTCTAACCATTTCTTACAAAATCCTGAAATAAAAATTTGATTCAAAAAAAATTTTGAAAAATGCGAGCGTTCAAAGAAATAAGAAAACCTAATTAAACCATGTAAAGAAATTATATTTATAGAAAAAAAATTTATTGTCAAGGAATTGTCATTGAATAGAGAAAAGATGTAATGGAGGAAGAGGAGAATGTGGAGAAGGAAGAGGAGATCCTTGTGGATGAAGATAAATTGGCAAGAAAGAGGAGGCGGTGGCGGCGGCTAAGGAGATGGTCAGCAGCATGCATGAGTGGACAAGTGATGCATGAGTGGACAAGTGGTGAATAGATCGCATGAAAGGAGAGGCATCAGTTCTAGGGTTTAGGGTGAATAGATCACACAAGCCTAGTATTATGTTATTTTAAACAATGTATATAATTTTATAGCTTTCTTGGACCAAGTATGATCTAGTATTCTATATTATCTATTCCATTCTATATTCTTTATCATTAAATTTGCAACCCTCTACGACCAATCTATCCACCATATTCATCCTCTTTGTCATGAAAATCTACTATTCTAGAATTTGAAACTATTGCACTAAAATTTGATTTAACTTATTTCCAAGCACATCCATTGCCTCTCCAACTCGTGATGCCCTTTCCACAACACCCCATGTTAAATTTACATCATAAAAAACTAACTTGCCTTCAAAGTTTAACACGCAAACATCTATCAAAGGAAAGGAACTAGCCTAATTGTTGGATGCTTATGGCGATACATTTACCTAGACAACGTGCCATGGAATTAACCTCACATGGCATTGGCATATAGAAGAACACTAAAATCACCTTCAAGACACACTATGCATTCCAAAAGAAAAATTAGCACTAAATTCTCAAACCCCAACAGAGAAAAGTACACACGGTAAAGACCATACATGTATTGCTTGATTACAATCACACATCCATTGCCTCTCCAACTCTTGATGCTCTTTCCACATCATCCGTGTTAAATTATTACAAGCACGCATCCATTGCCTCTCCAACTCTTGATGCTCTTTCCACATCATCGTGTTAAATTTACATCATAAAAACTAACTTGCCTTTATAGTTTGAAGTACAAACATCTATCAAGGAAAGGAACTAGCCTAATCAATGGAAGCTTATGACGATACATTGGAAAAGGTGCCATCAATGGAAGCTCACATTGCATTGGCATCTAGGAGAACAATCGCATCGCCTTCAAAGACACTATGCATTCCAAATGACAAATTAACACTAAATTCTCAAACCAAGACCACAAATGTATTGCTTGATTCCTTTGGCTTAATTAGTAAATACGTAGTAAATACGAGTTGCAAAATAATTTATAAATATCATTAAAAATTATCATCCACAAAAAGAGTAAGAATCAGGAAATAAGACTAAGAAGCAATATTTCCTGAACAACAAGAATATCAGTGTAAAAAGCATAAAGCATTTCTCCCAACAAGCATATATATATATATATATATATATATATATATATATATAACACATAAAGCAAAGACGATAGCATATGTTCATTGACTCCTTCACCTTAACAAGTGAATAATTCCTATGGAACCATATTCAAGATAACAATATGCACTTAATGTCTCAAAGAACTAATAAATTAGGCGTTCACAGCTCACAGTTCATAGAGATGAAGGAAAGAATCAGCTACTATGATCTCTAAAGCCAAAGCATGAACAGTATATGGTTAAAACCCATAAAAATATCCACAAAGACTTACCTCTGGAACTACAAGAAGGGATACACTAGCATATAGAAGGTCAATGGATATCCCATTAAACTTGAATTTCATTACAGGAACATGTGCATCTGGAACAGGCTGAAGTTCAGTAACTTCTTCCCTTTCAGACAAAATTTCATGCAAAATAATGAAGAAGTCCTCCTGCACAAATTGAAAAGCCAGTTAACTCAAGTTCACAATTTTAGGATCCAAGAATGTAAAAACCCTAATGACAAGAATTTAACCTCTCGATTCACATACGAAGGGCCAATGCAAAGTGTATCAATATCAGCTCCTCGTCCATTAACCTACATACCAGACAATGGACAAAAAAACTAGTGATCATCAAGATAAAATGATTAATATACAATTATACAATTGGCTGTCTCAGACACAAAACAGTAAAAAGACATCCATTACAAAAGATAAATTGTTAAACTAAAAACATAGCCAAGCTAATTCAGCTTGAAGAAATCAAAAAAGTCTTAGAACTTTCCTCTATACTAAATCCAATAATGGGATATAGCAAGAATAGGATTATAGCAGTTACAATAGTAACAACGGAAAAGACATGAAATTCCTTGAACAATCACAAAATGAAATAACATACATGACAGGGATTATAGCATGGCCAATAGTAGAGAAAACATGTATTTCTGAAGTTCAAGGAACAAATGATTCTTCATGGATCAACAACCAGACGGTTGTAAGCATCCAAAAAGTGCCTTACATAAACAAAACAGAACATAAATTTTATTGAACTCACAAGTCTTGCCATAATATTAGTAAACATAGGCCATCCACTGATCATTTTAGAATTGCAAACACTACAAGATATGCAAAATCACATTGAAATATTTTCTTACCCCTAACCGATAAGAACCAAATGTAAATAAGACAGCATTTGCTTCCTCAACCATTTGATCAGTATATCCTCGTTGACTTGTTAACTGCTTCACCCAGCTCTTTACAATCTGCAGGGAACATCAATAAGCATAGCAAATATTTACTGCAGAAGACAACTAAATATAACCCAATCAGACACAACAATATAAATTGTTTATTATGAGAAGTATAAAATTCATCAATAAACACCATAAATAGACATGAAAATGAGGATAAATTTATCTTGATATATAAAAAAAGCTTGACATATATAAGAAAAATCAGCAAGTAAAATTAAATTGTTTGTTTTTATGTAAATACTGACAGTTAATGTGATCAAAAGTTGAATATGAAACAATTAGTCATAAATTTGAATTCAATATAATTAAAATTGAGTTCAAACTTAAATCTAATGATAAAAATGATGTAATTACTGTTACATCAAATAATTGTGGTTTTTATAAGTATACTTAAAAAAACTATATTATGTGTCCGTTTCAAATTTAAAAATTACATGAAAGTTGGGAGCTTTTCTCGTCTAAAAATTCTAAGGGATGATGCTGGGCATGTAGGAGGTTATACATGACAAAAAATCCTCAGTATGAAGGAGGAGAGAAGCTTGACATTTGGCATAACAAAAGTTTGACAATTATCATAATCCAGGAACTTGGAACTTTGGTTTAGTATTTATATAAAGATATAATTATGCAAATCTAAGAAACTCCATAAATTCCATTGAGGAATCACATTTCATTATGCTGGCACAAACAGATATGGGAACAAGCCCATTATTCATAAGAATAGGGCACAACATATATTATTTATGAAAGTTAGAAAAACCATAAAAATAAAACAAGCACGGGGAATTAAAACAGTTACCAGATCTAACTGTCCTAGAACCTCCTCCCGCCTTGCTGCTTCTTCAGTGCTCTCATAAAGTCCAGCCTCCACCAAGAACTTCATTGGAACAAGCCAATATTAGCATGAGAATGTAAAGAATGGAAGAAAAAGCAGATAAGCAAGAACACAGATGCAAGAAAAACGGCAAGAATTGAAAGGAGCATACTTTCTCTAATTCCGCAGTTCTCTGTAGATCTGTCTCTGTCGGCCCCGCGACTGAGATAGGCTTCGTCACACCATACTGCTTAAGGGTATGTGCCCCAGTACTGCCAACCTCCGAACTCCCCATCTTGAAATCCTAACAGATAAAAGAAAACTACAGAAAGATGCTAGGATCTCGTCCGGCAACTCACCCCAAAGAAAAGTTCCAAAACACTAGAAACGATAAGACCTAACATAAGAAAAGAAAAGACCCAAGATACCGCTCCAATCCAACGAGAAATGAAGATCAGTCAAACATTTTGAACAACTATATCGTCTTACCAACGGATCTACGCGAGATGCAAACCTTAAATAGCGGGATCAATAACCAATCAGTCGGAAACACAAAGATGCTTCGTTTCTGTAACGACAAGGCACAAGGGCGTCCAAACATCAAGAAAGTCAATTCAAGGAAAATTATCTAAAAAATAGACATATAAACCTAGAAATCACCAAACAAAGATTCCAATTGAAGATCTCTTTTCCCGTTTGAAAGATACCAAGACTTGCCCTTGCCGACACCAACGAGCCTTACTCTCAAATACAATGATGCTCTCACCGCCCTAATCCAAAGAAGCGTCGGATCCCACAAACCCGAAACCCTAGAAAAGCCACACACACGCGCGCACAAATTCTAAGCGGAGAAAACTGCAAAAGAAAGGAAACGCCGGATCGTCGCCGAAGAAACCTAGGGCTGGGTCCGATGATCGTTTTCCAAAAACAGAAAGGAACTGAGGAGACGGAAACAAGATGGAGAGAGACGGAGGAGAGGGGCGGCACGGCAAGGCGTTACGTGGGGAAGCTTTATGAGAGAGAGAAACAGAGGAGAGAGATTATTTATCGGAAAGCCCAAAGCCGACGGTTTCGGTGGCGGAGAGCCGAAAACCGATTTCCACGGTAGACTTTAGATTGTTTAGAAGGCTCGGGGAATTAGCTGTGGTCCTGTGGAGCATACTTTTTGCAGAAAAAAAAATTGTGTTACCAATTGGGCAATTTACCATATCTTCATATTAATGAAGTATGATTAAATGGACTTGACAATTACTATATATATTTTAAAATTAAAAAATTATATAGCATTAATATTAAAATTTAATTAATGATTTTATAGTTGAGATATAATTATATAATTTTTACTTTTAGTTTGAATGAATTGATAGTGGTTGGTGGCTTACATGGGGGACAATGGTCGACAATATTGATGGCTTTGGGTGGCAGCGACTGGTGGTGGTGGTCAATGGTGTCGAGCAGTGGTGGGTAGTAGGCTGCAATGGTGGTCAGTGACTAGTGGCAACCTGCGCGTTGCTTACATTGACAGCCCACATAGACCCTTAATAACAAATTTATTTATATAATATACTCATCGCAAAATAGATCTTAAAACTTTAAAGTTCATTCTCATAAAAAATCTAGTAAAATATTTTAACCCGGATATTTTTAATTCCACAAAATATCAATATTAAAAAATATTCATTTATATAGTCAATACTGTAAAAATGAGGTAATTTCAATTAAAAAAACAATCAAGAATTTTGAATTTTGTGTATCATAGTTATTGATTCTATCATTGGTATCTAAATCCATCTTCTATTGCATATTAATTTGTATATTTATTAAATCATTTAAACAAAAATTAAAGAAAATATCTCATGCTAATCAATTTTTTATCTTTCTTTTAATAAACAACTAGATATTATAATAAAGAAATGTTGGTCTTTCACATCCATTTTAATAGCATTATATAAATAATAAAAAAGCCTTGAATAATTATCTGTTCTACACAAATTGATAGATATAAATCATTTATTAAAGTATTAAATCAACAAAAATAAACTATATAAATCATCATCTTATAATATTATTTTTCAAATTTGCATATCAAAAAACAAAACCTTCAAAATCATAATCACATGTACATCCCTCAAAAATTTCACTTTGACCCTCCAAATTTATTCATTCATACAATGAACCTATTGGTGTGAATGAATAATAATAGAATATGGATTTAGAAAATAAATTATTAATAAATATGAAGGTTAAGTAAATATTGATTTTCTCTTAAATTACTTTAACTTACATTATTTTTTTATTAAAATTGATACGTCATGCAAAAGTTATCTTGATCGGGCACGAATCTCAGCGCAAAAATCAAGTTGGAAACTTCAAAAATTAAATCCGGGAGCACCTGAACTCCGATTTTAGCGAGCTTACAGTCAAACTGAGCGTCTCGGAAATATAAACCCAACGACACCAAATTCAACTCAATCTGAGTCCAAATGAGCCCAAATCAAGCACCCGAAGTGTTGTTGGAAAGTTCGTACCACAATTTGAGTTGCCAAACGGTCTCCAATTTTGGCAAGCTTATATTCGAATCGAATGGCTCAACGAGACAAATTCAACGAGCCTAAGATTGCCAAATTCCGACATTATTAAGACCTTCAAATGTCTAGCAAACGGTGCACGATCAAGGGATTCAATATCAATCGTCCATTCGACCACTTCCTATTTGCCCCTAATCTCACACCTATTTACAAGCTATGCCACTCCATAAAATCTATAAATAGACCTCTCATTTCTCATGAGAGGGGGGGGGGAGCAAGAAGAAGAAGCATGAGAGGGGGGGGGGGAGCAAGAAGAAGAAGGGAAGAAGAAGAAGAAGGGGAAGGAGAATCAGCTCCTCCTCAACCACCGCCGGAGTTCTTCCCACCGCTCGAACACGCCGGGATTCTGCCAGATATTCGGGAGAACGCCAGAATTCTGCCCAACTTTCACGGGAAGCTAAAATTCTTCTCAATTAACGACAGAGTTCCTTCCTGACGCCGAATCTCCGCCCAAGTGATGCCGGAGTTCTCCTTGTCCACCAATAGACGTCGGACTTCTACCGGACATCGGACATTCACTCTAAGCCAAGTTTTTACCCGACGCCGAACTTCTACCGGTTATCAAACTTTCACTGGACGTATATCCGAAGATGGATTTCTTTCCATTGTTGTACTTCTACCTGACGTCGTCCTTCTGACCTTCATCATCAGACGCGGTCATTCCAACCTTCGTCGACTACGATCCTCCTGACTTATGTCGCCTGCCGACTATAGTATTTCCGACCTCCATCGCCAGCCGACCACTGTCCTTCTGACTTACGTCGTCTGCTGACTGCAGTCCTTCCAACAAAGCGAATACGTCAACAACTACTCTTTGTATTCCCAACATGTAATGTACTTCATATAATTTACATCAAACCCATGTCTTCCTCAAAAGAAGGGCCTCATTTGTAATCGACTACAATACTAGTGGATTCATTCAAACTGGGCTAGGCCCCGTGGTTTTTCCCCCTTTTCAGGGGTTTTCCACGTAAAAATCTTGGTGTCTCATGTGAATGTTACACACTCTCTCTCTTAGCTGATTGCGTGCCGGATTTTCGTACAACGCTAAGATGTTAATTTTATATTTCTCTACCGCCGCAAATACTCCTGGACGCAACAAAAATAAAATAAAGTATGACCTCCTTATCAAATCAAGATATTGAATTTGATGTAAATTAATAAAATTGATTATCCAAAAACATTTCTCACATATAATACTGATGCAATCTCTAATTGGTTTAAAGAAAATCAAAATAGAATAAATTTAAGATATTGATTAAATACAACAACAACAACATCAAGTTTTTGTCCCACTATGTGAGGTCGGCCACATGAATCTTTTTTCGCGATTGTGTTCGGTTAAAAGTCAAATTCTCTCATTTAAATCTAAAAAATAAAGATCATTTCTAATATTTTATAATCAAATCTTTTTAGGTCTACCTCTACCTTTCTTAACATAAGTCGAATCTAATACCTCAACTTTCCTAACTGGGTCATTGGAAGGCCTCCGTTTAATGCGACCAAACAATCTAAGGCGACTCTCTCTACTCTTATCTTCCACTGGAGTGACTCCAACATTTTCAGTATATGCTCATTTTGTATCATATTTCTAAGGGTCAAGCCACTCATCCACCTAAGCATCCTCATCTCTGCAACACTTAACTAAGTATTATGCTTCTCTATTAATGGTCAACATTCGGCACCATAAAACATTGCAGGTCTCACCACCATCTTATAGAATTTTCCCTTAAGTTAGAGGGGGACTTTTCTATCGCAAAATAAGCCCGATGCATTCCTCCATTTCAACCATCCAACTTGAATTCAGCTGTATTTTGATAATTTCTTAATGTGCAATATCCATGCAAAAACATTATCGATTGTATTTTTACAATTATTTCAAAATATAATGATGTAACCATAACATATTGTGCCTCTTTTTGATTTTTCATTGTCTATCACATCAAAATTTTTAAATCATAAAATAATTCGATGTCATTAGCATACATTTATGCATTTGCAATTATATTATTATTAACCAAAATAGAAAAAAATTGAATATTTACAAGGATGGAGCAAATTGTACAAGATATTGCTCTTTAAGCCCTTAAGGTGATACAAGTGATGAGAAGAATAGAATGAGAGAGGTCTGATTTTTGTTTTTAGTATGTTCTATGATGTAGAGATTGCAATGATGTAGAGTAAATATATCCTAATAACTACAAATCTAAGAAGTTATACAAATCACTAAACTTGGAGAGTTATGTTTGGAAGCATACAATTTATAGTGATGGCAATTTGCAATATTCATCATACTAATTATAAATTCAATTGATTCTTACAAATCACTAAAATCAAAGAGTTATATATAGAAGCCTATAATTTACAAAGACGACAATTATGGTATTGTGTTGATATCAACAATAATCCCCCTTCATTATGGAGTTCAGGGGATGAACACAATCTTAACACATAGATCATCAAAGAGGAAAATCAATGACAATGTGTTTCATGCATGAGTGAAATATTAGATTAACATATAGATGAGTAGCATTGATATTGTCAAAATAAATTATTAGTCAAGTTACAAGAAAGAATACCCAATTTTGGAGAAGTGGTATTACCCAAAGTTGTTTGGAGGTTGTGATGAGGATTGTTGTACATTCAACTTTGGAAGAGGATTGTATTTATAGCTTTTTATTTCTTAGAACTCTAAAATGTTGCATTCGAGCCAAGGAAAAAAACATTAGAACATATGATGTTATGAACAACAATATTTTCAGCCTAGTTGTAATCTTAAAAAGCATTATTGTAAAAGGAATGTACTTTTCCAGAAAAAAATTCATGATGTATTATGTCATGCAAAATATTAGAGTAAATTTTTAACTGTAGTTCAATATTCGAATGTTGGAAAAATACATGAGACGAGATATTATATTAATTAAGAAGCAACACCATATCGAGATAGTGAAAGATAATGAAGACATCTAGCCATAGACACATATATTATTGGGTTTATGAGAAATATTTTTTTTCTTTTTTCTTTTATTATAGGTTTGAAATTAGGTTTATGAGAAATATATCATCATGTAAAGCAGGCGGTTTGCTAGCGAGATTGAACGTGCTCGTCTTTCTGAGAAGATCTTGAATATGTTATTGTTGGGATAGAGAAACATGCTATCAAAAGTTGATATCACATTCATAACAACAAGCCTTCGTTATATTACTTAAGGATGGCTATATGAGCCAAAGACATATTTAAATCTAATAAAAAAATCATTTAAGATACTTCTTAATCAAGTCTTTTTAGGCCTGCCTTTATTTTTCTTAACATAGGCCATATCTAATATACCTACTCTAATAATAGAGCCATTAGAAGGTCGGCATTTTACGTGATCATACATCTACTCCAACCTTTTCACGTATATATTCATTTCACATTCAGTCTCAGAGCAGAAAATTTCTTATCCACCTGAGCATCCTAATCTCTACAACACTAAGCTTAATTTTATACTTCTCTTTTAATGCCAATATTTTGTTCCATAAATCATTATAAGTCTCACCACACATATATTAACACAATATGTTTAAGCTATTATTGATGGTAGATGAAAGAGATGTCATATTTAGAGTTGGCAATCACATATATACAGTGTGAATTCTATGTCATTGTCTCCCGTTATCACCACCAATCTCAACCAGCTGCCTACTAGCCACCGCCATCTTTGGACTTAACATTGCATTATTTTTCTTTAATCTAAACAAAAAGGTAATCATTTGTATTTGTTTTGCACTCATCCAAATAACTCCAAAGATTTTATATACATGACATTTATTTTTACCCTCTATTTCATTTGACTATGCATTCTTTTTTCAACAAACTGTAAGCGCCTATGTAGGGCTATCAAAATTAGGTCACGGGTTGGGTTCGGGTCCAACCTAAAATTGACCTGACACTAGTTTACCTAACCGAGCCTGACCAGTTTTTACAAACAGGTCAAGTTTTTCAACCCGGACCCATCCCACGCAGGCTGCTAGGTAGACCCGACCCGACCCATGGTGGGGTGAGGCGTCAGCGGCTCGGCGAGTCGACCGTGAACTAGGACCGTGAGGCCATAAGCGAGGTGAGACATCAGCTACTAGGCGAGACGGCGGCAACGACGCCAGTGACGGCGGGCACTCGACGCTATAGAAAGCACTCGGGGATGGGACGACATGCCAGTGCAAGCACTCGACGTGACGCAAGCACTTGACATGACACACGTCAGACATGGTGAGCACTGACTGGATGACATGCCAACGCATTTTTCTCGAGTTAACCCGTGTTGAGTTTGAGTTTTTGGGTCGACCCGAACATGACCCGTTTTCCCAAACGGGTATCAGAAATTTTCAGGCCAAATTCGAGTCAGATTTTTGGGTTGTGCCAAATATTGCACTCCTATTTCTCCTTTATTTCCAATATGTAATATTAATTTAAAATCTAGATCAAGTTCAATAGTTTTTCCACCAAATATTCGTTGACTAACATCTTCATGAAATGAATATTGAAGCTGAATCCCAAATGATTAATTTTATGTCTCTAATTGTTTATATATGAAACAAGTTGAATGCATACTAATAAATAAATGAATATTTAATTTGGAATGGGTTGGTCACCTAACAAGCTCTAGCAAAATTACAGTTCCTTAAGAAGCTACAGTGATAGCATTTTTTTACCGTTAACTCCTTACTTTACACATAATTGCCTTGAAAAGAAAATTCTTCCCTATTATGCCCTTCCCATATAAATATATAAAAAACAGTTTGTATCTATCAAGTATGGGTTCCATTATATATAGATTATATATTTTATTCTGTTTTGCATTAAATAGGGAGAATTACCTCTGGCATTGTTGCTTAAATAGTTAAATGACTCAACATTATAGTTTAGTCCTCCAAAATCAAGTAATTGCAAGCTTTTTTTTTTAACTAATTGCAAGCTAATATACCTCCTTCATTGGAGTAATTATTACGTCCGGACAAAAAATAATTAACTAATTTGTTATGATTAAAGTTTTATTTGGCATGACTTTCTGCTTTAAGAAGTAGTAAAAAAGTCATTTCAAGCAAAGCCTAAATCATCAAGTTCTATTTTCTATCAAACAATAAAAATTAAATCTTGATTTAAGGAATTCAGAATAAATAAATGAATAAAATCGTAAAACTAAAAATAATTTTTATTTATTTTTTACATTTGAGCATCATATCTTATATTAGAATAGAATCATTATCAAGGAAATAGAAGGTTTAATATATCATCTAATTTTTGCTTATAGTTATAAAAAAGATATTAGTCACTTAAACATTGAATATATTTTAATTAAAAATTATAGAAAAATTGTTTTACTGTATGATCTACATTTCATAAATTTTTTTTTTATTTTTAGTCACATATTTATATAATTATTAAATCATTTAAATCATATCAATTAATATTAATAAAAAAATGCAATATATGACAGCTTCATAATTTCAGCTCAGAAATTGGAGAAATTATTATGTATAGACGTCGGACGCATCTCTATATGCGGAGGCAGCGGTACTGAGACATTATACCGAGCAGTACCAAACCACAATATAGAGCAAATGGGCGGCGAAGCGTATTCTGATTGGTGTCCATATGATATTCAATGTCTGCACAGAATAATTTTTCCAGAATTTGAATAAAAATCAATAGAATTGATCAGATCAAATGGTTGATCAAGATGGCTTTTACTTGAATTAGTGGGTTACAATATATTTTTTCTCCCAAAAAATAAAAAAAAAATTGGATTAAAGCTGAGAAGACAAAGATCATAATTTGATCCACTCGACTCCATCAATAAAGCTCAAGGAGATAAAGGGCTTTGCCTCCTCGTCAGTGAGCTCTCGTGACCATGGAACCCTTCCAACATAGTTGGCTCCTGGCCCACTGCACTTGTATTGCCCGTAGAATACAGTCCTGTCAACAAATATCAAATATTAAATTAAAATAATAATAAATATCATATATTAGCACCAAAAATATTAAAAAAAACAATAATTTGGAAAAAAAAAAATCTTTTTGGGTTAAATCACAGGTCATCATACACAAAAAGAGAATTGCACAAGGATTTAAGATTTCATTTGGGACGAATTTCTTAGGGCTTCTTAAAGCAATTTTAAAATATTTGTACTCTAAAATTGCTTTAAGAAGCAGTATGAAAGTCGTCCCAAATGAAGGACGTAACTTTTTATAAAAGTGGTTATAAAATTACCGTGGAGCATGTATTTTTTTTTTTTGAAAGCTGCTTTAGAAAGCAGTTTCATAACATAAATTTTTCTTTTAATGTAATGAAAAAGTAGCAGCCATATAGGAACTATGGTTGAGATCGATACGAAAAGTAAATTTGTAAGAAAGAAAGCTGTATCAAACGAAGCCTTATATACGTAGAGAAATTTTATTAGGATATTTTAATATAAATTATATCAAAATAATCTTAAAAATAATTTTAAATTTACCTTAAAATTAGTTCATTACAAAAATTTCCCAATATTTGAATATCCTAACATAAATTATATTAAGACGGCCTTAAAAACAATCAAATAATCTGTGAGATTAGTGCAATAAAAAAATCTTAACTTATAACACTAATCTCAAAGCATATTCAATAAATTTAAAATCATCCCCACACAAATTTATATCATACAACACTAATCTCAAATCAAATATAATGATTTATAATTGCATCATAAAATTCTGCCATCATATTTAATAAAAGTATTTTAAAAAAGTAAAAGAATTTAATTAAAAAAATATATTGTTTAAAATTTAATTAAAACAAAAATAAATTTTTTTTATAAACCCAGACCGTTTCAGCGGTTCACCGGTTGAACCGCCGGTTCAATCCAGTCCGATGCAGAGCCTAATCCATAAGCTGGATAGGACTGGCCACCAGACTGGTCCACGGTTGAACCAGTCGGTTCGGTCCTGTTTTCAAAACAGGGATATTAAGAGAAGAAGCGGCTTACATCTCTCGATTAGGGTCTCCCCAATTAGACCAACCACTGGGAATTATAATATCGTCCATGTACGTGTAGGCGAAGATGACCCGAGAGAAGGTGCCCCAAGCCCTTCCCAAATAGAGGGCGCCCGAGCCTGTTACCTTACAGTTCACGAAGGAGAACCCCGTCGGATCAAGCAGGCTCATTCTATTCTGCGCCGTCACGGCTCCAATGCTCTCTGCTATTGCGTGCATATGACATCCCTACCCATCATAACATCAAAATTACAAGAAAAATTATTATGTGTGCATAAAAGAATATTGAAATTTAGCTCATTTTTTAAATTATTGTAATAGGATATTCTCATATAATTAGGGGTGTTAATTTTTGACACGATCCAAATCCGGCCCGAAAAAATCCGGGCGAGGGTCAACCCGGACCCGAAAAGGGTCGGGTTCAACAAATCAATCCGTTTTAAAAATTTAGTCAGGTCCGGGTTGACCCAGCAGGGTTGACCCAGCAACCCGAAATTGAAACGAAAACTCCTATTTGACTCGAAAACCTATTGACCCTATTTTGACCCGAAAATCGAAGATTGACCCGATTTTGAACATAAAACTAGCAATTTTAGGTTAACTTCGGGTCATTCGTGTCGGGTCAGGTTCGGGTCCGGAAACCTGACCCGTTTTTTAAAACAGGTCGGGTTTGGGTTGACCCGAACAGTACCGGGTCAGTTTCAGGTTCGACCCAAATCCGACTCGTTGACCCGAATTGACACCCCTACATATAAGTATATAACTTCATCATATAATTTGCAATAGAATATTCTCATATAATATCCAAAACTATCAATTATTTCTAGAAGAAAAAATTATTTCTAGAAGAAAAAGGTCAAGAAAATACACCAGAAAGAGTTAGTGAATATCATTATCTTGCAATCTCGTTCATTTGAGAAGTCTGAAACATCTTTTTTTAATGCTTTTAAAAGTAATTTTTTAGTTAAATAAGCTGTCTCAAATGAAGTCTAAGGCTTCATTTAAGATGTCTTTCTTACTATTTACTATTTAAAGCAGCTTTCTATTAAGCTTAAATTTTTTATACTAAAAAAATGCTTTAAGAAGCATTAAAAAAGCCGTCCCAAATAAAACCTAAAAAAAATTATATAATTATATATTATACTAAAGTTTTAGTTTTTAAATATTTCTTAGATTATAGAAATTATTGAGAGAGAATAATTAACGAAAAATTTAAGGCTCTCTTCTTCTTATTCCTTTTTTACAAGGTTAATTAGCACAAAGAAAAAAATATAAATTTTAATTTGGTCGCATTAAGGGTGAGAAAAAAACTTTAAATTTTCATATGATTGTGTATTTCTCTTAATATATTTTTATAAAGTTTTTTTTTTTCAATTTAGCTGGAAATTACTGCATAGCATCAAAAATTCCCCTAAAAAATAGAGAAATCTGATTGGAAGTAATTGAAAGGATGGGGCCAATGGAGATCGAGAATTGCCCTACCCGTGACCTGCCAAGATGCAGCTCGTACATGCCAAGTGTCAGCACTCGATGATGCTATGACGATTAGTAACCGTGCAGCCAGCGTTAATAAAATCTCTGAAGGTAAAAACTAACCTCATAGAGGGAGAGGGCATTCCCAAAGATAAAATCCACAGAACCTTCAATGTAGCAGTCCTTATAGTAATGGCGGCCAAGATGATCATATAATGTGTCTTGCGCTCCCAAGAACTTGCATCCCAAGAACGCCGCCGTATCGCCTGATATCCTCATCGCCACCGCCTGCTTCCCGACCGCTCCTGGTTTTGGCACTGGACTCGTATTCTGATTCAGAAGGGAAAAATAAAAAGAAATAATTTCAACTTTTTTGTTTCTTTTTGGGTAAATTTGGAAGAAGCTAGAAATGACCTTGAAAGTGATGTTCTTAGCTACGAAGAAAGCGGAATTAACAGCAAAAGTTGCAGAATTGTAAGTTCCCAAAGGCTGCCCTTTTGCTCCAATGGTATCTGCTGTATCTCCCCATTGCACGACGGTCTTATCCGCCCCTGCTCCCTCTATTGTTATAAATGCTTTCATTGCCGAAATGCTGACCTTCTCCCTGTAACAAGATATCATCTTTTTGCTCAAATCTGGCTTCAAAATTCGATTTTGATGAAAATTTGTGGGCAAGGAATTAAGCTGAGCTTAAGCCGCTACTCACGTGTAAGTTCCGGCATTGATTTTGATGATAACTCTAAGTAAATTGATAACGGGAAGCGAGTCGATGGCTTCTTGAATGGTGGTGAAGTCTCCCTTTGCTGGATTCTTGTCGACGGTGAGAGTGTAGGAAGGAAACAGTTTGTTCATTGCTCGGCCGAAGAGGCTGTGCCGGAGGCTTCCGACGAACTTTACCCATCTCATGAACTGTTGTTCTATCAATCTTTGCTGCGTCGTGTTGCCGGAATAATGTGGCTGATTTCCCTGCCGGAGGCCTTTCGTGTGGCCGTGCGAGTGGCCGGAGATTAGCAGGAGGATGAGGGGGAGGAGGAGGAGGAGGGAAACAGAGGTTCTGTGTTGGAAGAAGAGGGGCATTGTTCTCTGAAAGTGGAAACAGAGCAATGGAGAGGGGAAGGCGAAGATGATGGTTTTAAATTTTAATAGAATTGGAGTTGCTGAGGAGAGAAGTTCACGGGTTCTTACTGCTGAAGAATAAAGGGAGGAGATGCGGAGCGGGGTTCACAGGGCGTGAGGCTTTCTGGCTTTGGAGCTTTGTAGTAATGGCCGCTTTATAATTTACAGATAATGGTTTTATTATTTTATTTCACTTTTTTATACAAAATTTTTTATTTATTTCATTGTTTTGTTTCTTTTGCTCTGCTATTCTCGTGTTCTCATTTTATGCTGGACTAAGGGCAGATTTTGAGCTCTTTTTTTTCGTGATTATGACTAAAAAAAATTATGTTTGGTATTAATTCAAATTACTATTAAGCAGATTTTTCTAATGCTAAATTCATTGAAAAATCTCTCTTAATTAGGAGTCTGTTTGAAACAACTTTCTTTCTGCTTTGTTTTTCATTTATTAATCATAATTTCGTTTGTTTAGTGCCTTGATATTGATTCTCATAAATTTTTATGATGAAAATGTGTTTTTTTCAATTAGAGTAGCTTAGTTATTTTTTCACAATATTTTTAAATCAATTTTATAAAATATTACAGTCATCCCAAATAAACCTTACACAATTTTGCAACTCTTAGTAGGACCTGCAAATGCTTTATGATGTAGAATGTTGGCCATTAAAAGAGAAGCATAATATTAAGTTAAGTGTTGCAGAGATGAGCATGCTCAAGTATATGAGTGGCTTTACTACTAGAGACAGGATACAAATGAGCATATATGTGAAAAAATTGGAGTAGCTCTAGTGATATGATTAGATTTCAATTTGAGCTAGGAATTACTTATTAACTTGAATTTAAGCCAAAAAAAAAAATCGATACAATTTTGTTTGATTTCAAATCAATCAAAGACATATTCTTAGAAAATTCTATCACAATTTTGATCAATAGATTTAGGGTTTGTTTGGGCAAAGTTCTTATTATTTTGTTTTTCAAATTACAATTAATATTTTGTTTGATATTTTCTAAATTTTTTTGTGTTAGGTAACTATTTTTTATACCAGCTTTTAAAAATTATTTTCCATATAATAATTTAATAATTATCTTTATGAAAAATTACAACCTTCCCTAACAAATTCTTAGAAATATAAACGGCTTGACTGTTCAACTAAGAAGAAAAACTATTGATTCAAGATAATAATATAGATATATGAGTATAAAAAAGAAAACTCATAAATGGTAAATAAAAATTAAAAACATGAAAATATTTATATTTTATATTCTTAAAAAAGGGAACGGCAAAACTGAAAAAATGAAGAAAAAAATGCTTATTATTTGTTATTCCTTTAATTTCGTTTGGGACAAAAAAAGTAACAAATAATAAGCATTTTTTTTTCTTCAAAAATTTTCTGGCTATCATTTTTTGATATTGGCAATTATCATTTTCCCCAAAAAAAAATAAAAATTGGTGACTTTCTAAAAAAAAAATTAAAAGAAATTTCTTAGTCATCTGTGGCGGCAACGAAATAAGCTAGGAGAAGAGCCGGGAATGCTGAAGAGTCAAAGCATGTGGCAGTTTTATATTGTTTCGGATGATGATGAAGTCATTTTCACTGGATAAATTAGACAATCATTATTTAATATTTCTGAATTTTTGTATGATTGATTTGGGCGGCGGTATCTTTTTTTATAAAAATAAATGTAAAATTATTATGAAAAATATATATTTTTTCAAATAATAATAATAATAATAATAATAATAATTAGTTTTAAAAATCGGATAATAATTTTCATATAATTATCATAAATTGATAGATCTGACGGTGAAAAACAGTTTTTCACTATAATTCTTCTTAAAATTTAACAACAGAGCAGCCCCAAATGAACCTTCATTTTAAATTTAAAAAATGTGTTATGTAGCTTAAAGAGGTGATATGGTTTTCATAAAATTATTGAAAGTAATTTTATTTTATTTTTCACTTATTCTAATATTTTTCTTATAAAGATATGATTACGCAGGATATTGAACAAAACTAGACCCGCACGGGTTACAGGATTGACGCGACCCACGAACATGATAACACTGATAGTGGCATGCCAACGACGGTGGCATGGCTGTGGCAGCGTCCGCAATAGTAGCATCGTCAATCGTCATAGGTACTTGGTTCACGTGAAGAGACACGCAACTCAACATGACGGCGATGCGAGCACACTCGACACGTCACGGGCAGCAGGGGTCAATCTGGGTCATTCCTGGGTTTCCGGGTCAACCTGAACCCGACTTGATTTTTGAAATATGCAAGTTTCTTGAACTCAAACTTGACCTGTTTCTCAAACGGGTTGACCCTAACCCATAATTTTCATGTCGGATTTTCAGATCATGTCAAATATTGACACCCTTACCTTTTAGTATACAATCCTCTTGTATGTTTGTGATTTTGATATTTTTGAGTTATTTAAAAATTGTCTTAATTTAGTTAATATACTTTAATGATAATTAATAGTATTAATTTATGCAATTATCATTATTTAATCCTCCTATTAATGCATGATTTGCATATGATAACATATGAAATAAGAGAGAAATAACTTAGCGGTAATGTGAGAGATAAAAGATGTCCAATAGTACTTCTATTGTCTTAATAGGAAGGTAACATTATAGCATTGTCATATATAACATGTCCAACATAATAATTGTGTTGGTAGGAAGACCAAAATTAGGAGCATGAAATGACTATTTTGTCCTTTCGAAGGAGGGCAACATAGTCTTTATGCCATATGCAACATGTATCATGCAATGCGCATTGGTAAGATGATCATCATGAAAAATGCAGTATATCTAATATATGACTATTACACTAAAAGGATGATTATGTATGTGATTAAGATGAACATTATTTAAGGTCTATTTGGGATCACTTTGTCACGGTCTTATTTTTTAGATTACAATCATAATTTTATTTGATGGCTTCTTTTTCGATATTTTCTAGGAATTTTTGCAGTAGAAAGTTAATTTTTACCACAATATTTATGAATATGTGATAGTTATAAGAAAAAAAATAACTTTAAAAAAAATCATAACAATTTGCGAAAAATTACTTTTTCTCATAACAAAATCATAATCAACTCTACAAATTGTTGCAACTATCTTTTTTTTTTTTTGATAAAAGACATTCATTAATAAAAGGAGAATACATACAAGATCTAGATAATACAAAACAAAATTGCAAGGCTATAATTATCAAATAAATAAAGCAACCTCAAAGGAAGGTGCAAATCATAAAGGCTGCCAAAGAGTAAGCAAGAGCCAAAGAAACAGTCGGACTCAGGAATGAGGCTCCGTGCGAACCCGCAAGCCAAACAAGGACCATCCATTGGAGGTATCAAGCCATGAACCAAGCAGAGGAAAACCAACAAGCATCAATTCATAACCCAAATGAAGGCTCATCAACAACAAAGAGGAAATACCACCAAGGTTGCCAGTAGGAGTGTCAATATTTGACACGGCACGAAAACCCGACCCGCAAAATCCGGGTTGAACCCGACCAGATTTCAAAACGGGTCGGGTTCGGGTTCCAGAAATCGACCCGTTTAAAAAACGGGTCGGGTTCGGGTTGACCCGGCGGGTTGCTGAGTCAACCCGCCAACCCGTTTAACTTAAAAAAAAAATTCAAATTTCCCGCCTCTGCCCGCTGCCCGCCGCGCGCCTGCCCGAGCTGCCCGCTGCGCGCTGCCCCC